CTAGAATGAAAGAGGCAAAATATAAAGTTTTTTCTTAAGAAGCATTTAATAACTATCTGGACTTATAAAAATTTCCCATGTGAAATTTGAACATTTTCTGATGCATAAAGGTATTTTTTTTATCTTAAAATGAATATTACTTTGCATGATAGATAGGCAACATGCAAAAAGAAAAAAAAAGACATGAGAAAAATACTGCTTTACAAACCTTAAGACTTAATAAAAAAAAAATTGATATTTTGTGTATGAAAGCATTGTAATGTTTAGTGATAATCTGCCATATTTCGTTAACATTTGCTTACTAATTTAAAAGTTGTAGCATGAAACTATAACAAGCACAAAATGATTATGAGGTCAATCCCAGGGACTGAGCCCATGCTGAAAGAGTTAAAGCTTTAGGATGTACTGTCTGAATGTCTAAATTTGAATTTTTACTAGATGGAAAACAGCAGTGCTTTATAATTAAAACTTTGCTAAGTATAGAAGCTAAGTAAGATAGTGACAAAGCTTCACAAACTAAGGAAGATAAACAATCATATATAATAATTTAAAAGTGAATGAACGTTCTGACCAGTCTGAATGGTAAAAAAACAGAATTCTTTAATAGTTCTCTCTTACATTTAATTATATATTACCTATAACCAACAGAACTAGTTCCCAAATATTTATAATTTCTTGGTATGTATGACAGTTTATCAATGCATTCTAAAAACATTATTAGATCTTTCACTTCAGTCACATATAACTTAAAAATTATGATGTTTACACAATTTTTCTGGTTAAACCACACTATTCTGAAAGTGTTAGCTATATTTGAGATTAAATTAATAAAAATGTGATTACAAACAGGAATGTATTCAATCTATTGTTACTGCAAAATACTTTTGTTACTAATGGACTACAAATTATGGTGAGAACAGCGTAAGTTTAGAATAACTCCAAAAATCTCTAAATCATCTTGAATACTGTGTCTAAAAAAAAAAGCACAATAAGCCTTACAGGTGTTTATCTGTTATTTAGCAAACAATAGAACAAAATTTCTCCAATAGTTTTTGGCAAGAAGGTTACATTGCTCTCATAATATGACGACAGCTAAAATTTCCCTTAAAAGAGAAAATCTAAAGTGAATTAGCTTGGTTCATTAACCCTCTCGCCCCATGTATCCTTTACTGTGCATGACATATGGCTTTAGTGTCTCACATTCAAAATTTTATTAAATTACTTTATGTTTATGCTCTACCAATTAGTATAGCATAAAATTTTAGCTAATAATCCATATTTTAATAGTATATAAGTTTTAAGTTCTTAATTTTATAAGGCAATATTTTAAAAAATCCTGAATTTCCCCTAGTGTGACACATTTTCTTCTCATCTCCATTTTATCCCCCACCCCACCCCAAAACTACAAAATGCAATGTAAATTACTCACTATAAAATCGAAATAGCTCAGACATATCATAATTTTTATAGCCTTCAATTCGTTTGGTTACAGAGCTAGCAAATAGAAAATCAGACTCCTCCTGCCACATTTTCTCTCTCAAAATTCTTTAATAGTTCTCTCTTACATTTAATTATATATTACCTATAACCAATAGAAAGTCACAAAGTCACAATGGGAATCACAAAGGCTAGCTTGGATGCATTTGTAACAGCTCTTGTCCCATAGTTAGAAAGCCAGACAAATTGTGATTGTTAAAGGAAATTGTCTACTTTTTGCATTAATTTTTAACTAAATAAAAATTATTTAATGTACTACTACCATTAGTATAAAAAAGTAGGGTTAACTATTATCGATAGTCTACAGCAAAAAAAAATAAAAACTAGTTGACAAATGTTTTTTAGTTTATTAAAAATACAACACTAAAAAATATGATTTTTTTGTATGTGAAAGGCTTATAATGTTTACTGAAAGACTGCCAAATTTCATGACAATATACGCACTATATCAAAAGTTAGTAATATCAAATCTATAAAAATTCTATACGAGTACAAAAGGGTTAGTTGGTCAAATTGACTGAGCTCATGTAGAGAGTTAACTGTGATTTTTTAAGACTGATTTATCATGATAAATAGTTTTATAAATAAATAAACACACACACACACACATATATATATA